TTCGCTTATTATTCAAAAAGAAATGTGACCCCCCACCTAAATCGTCGTCGTAACGGTTGCCCTAAAAAGATCACTTACAGGAAAATGTACAAATCTATCATCATGTATACAAATCTATCATTCTCTATACACGTCTCCACCCAGCATTACATGAATTTGAAAGGGTGGCAAAAAAGTTCTAGATCTAACCAAGAAGGCCCTGCCTCACACATTTCTTATGTGGGATCATTTAGTCACACACGCACACACACAAACACACACATACTCACACACACACACACACACACACACACACACACACACATATATATATATATATATATATATATTGCGTATATTTTGGCAGCATGTTTTCATTAAGACATGTCTCATTAAATAATATAGATGTTTTGTCTACTTATTTTTAATAGGATCATTTCGTAAATACGGACAAATTCTTCTTCTAATTATCATGTTGATGCATATTCCGAGTACTTTTGACATTAGCACAAGGTCTTCATCAAGGTCTTGTTTTTTCTAAGACCAAAAAATTTATTGTGTTCATCATTTTCCTAAGACAAAATTGTTGTGTTCATCTGAAAATTAAATTTTTACGTGTGAAGTAAAAAACGCTAAGTACAATTTTTTAATTTTACCATGCAAACGTCACGGGAGGTAACTAAGATATTGAAATGTCTAAATATTTTTAATAAGAAAAACTATTTAAAACTATTAGTTAAAACCTAGATATTTTAAACTATCTACTATAAACATTTTAAAACAATTGTGCAGTATTCTTAATTAATTTTATTAAGAGTTGGAACCCTTAATAAAATTAATTATGAATACTGTCAATTTCACGACTCAGTTTTAAGCCTTAAGCGATAATCAGCCCAAGTGTACATCTAACATTATAAATTATAATATGAAATAAAGGATTGAAACTGCTTAAATCTATTGAACTGCTTTAATTACATTTCGACTAATACACTTTTATGGCATTTGCAGATCTCTTCAGCAGAGAAATCATTGCATAGTGCTTCAGAGCAAACACAAGAGAATTGGTCTGCGCAAAGCAGGGCATCGTAGCTAGTACATACATACATACATACATATATATATATATATATATATATATATATATATATATATATACAGACATCTGCATACTCTCTTTTGTGTCTGATATCCCTGACGAGACCTTGTTGTGAACAGCTGAAAGCAGTCTGATTTTGAGTGTAATTTGGTTACTTAATACATTCTTAACTCTCACCAAGATTCACAATTACACGACACGTTTGTTCAACTTTTCCGGCTTTATTTCCAATGTTTCAAATTCCAAGAGAAAATATTAGAGAAACTATCGATGTCTTAAAAACCATTTACGCTTTACACGTTTATTTGTGGCGGTTTTCTTTCTTTGGACCAGTTTATGATTGCGGAAGTGCCATCTAACACTTAGCTAGCAATCTAGGCATTGCAGCTAAACCTATTTTTAGAACAAAGGCCGAAATCTGTTTAAATGCCGGTGAGTATATAGAATATAATACAGAATAATTCTGGAAGTACTGTTGTCATATTTGGGCGGGAGTTGCCCAGACCCTCACTCGTCAGCCTTTACTTGAATCCAAATGCTTCTCCGACTCATTGTGGATGACAAATTATTCTCAACTTTCCAACTTTTCTCTTTCTGACAGGTTGGATGTAGCAAACCTCTTGCAACTCTCTTGCTACTTCTATGGAAAGTGCTCGGACGAACAGCATTCTTGGGTTCAGACGGTCCTAACCTCCACGTCCAGGACCCTCCATGTCATTTAAATTGTAACACCCCCCCCCACCCATATTCCCTCTGTATTTCAGAAGTAAGTTCTACGCGAATAGCTTCTTCCCACAAATCACTGCTCTGTGGAACAGACTGCCAAAAAGATGTTTCGCCGATTACTCCATTTCTTAACCTGTTCAAGTCTAGGGTTAACCGTTATTTTCCCCTCCTATCTGCATAAATTGTCTCTTAACGTAATCATCTACCTTGAGTGGTCTTCGGACTTATACAGGGTAAACCTTACTGAAAAAAAAAACTTATTACACGAAAGAACTTCATTTATACTTCTATAAACTAATATTCTTCTTTTATGCGCTGTGTAACTTCAAGACGTGAACAACCATGGCCCTTCACATCTTCCTAACCTACGTAGCTCTTCACATACGGAAGTGAATGCTGGGAATCTCTTCATATATGGAAGTAAATGCTTGAAATCTTTTCACATATGGAAGTGAATATTGGAAATCCTTTCACATATAGAAGTGAATGCTGTAAATCTATTCTACCGACGAGTGCTGAAAATTCGAGCAACAATGAGGTCTAAAATAAAACAGGAACTAAAATGACACTTATACTTCCAAAGAGAAATGACTTTGAATTTCTGTTACACATAATGGACAAGAGTTATTGGAGGATTTGATAGTCACCTCCCTTACCGTAAGTTTTTTTTTCTCGCCAGAAGCTATCTTACATTTTTATAAGTCTACCATTCGTCAGTGCATTGAATATTGATACCATATCTGGCTTGGTACTTCTGCTGTGTATCTAGAAATTCTTGACAGAATCCAAAGAAGAATATGCAATATTATCAATCCTGAACTGGTATTTCTGCTTCAATCACTTTCCCACCGCCATAGCGTATATAACGTTTATGGCGTATATGTGCACTTTCTATAAATACTTTCTTTGTAATTGTTCTGATGAGCTTTTCTCTTTAGTACCTCGACTACACAAATTTAGGAGCAATTGGCAGATAGATCTCGTTATTTTAAGACTGAAATTGTAACTAAGTTCTATATTTTCTTCTCTTGCACTTATTGCATGTGGAACTCTTTTCTGACTTCATGATTTCCCGTTAACTATGATCTTTATAATTTAAATCATCATCTGTCTTCTTCAATCCTCGTGTTTTATTTTCCTTTCTCTCTTTCTTTTCAATAACGTCTTCTTAGTTCCTTTCCCACTCACCAAGTGCTTGTACTTTAATAGCTTTATCGCCTTGCTTGCGATGAAATGATTTTAATATGTATCAGATTTCTTGATAATGAGCAATTATGCTAATATAAAACAAAGAAATTTTTCGCGGAATAAGCCATTCCAATCACTTTACAGCTACTAGTAAAGTTTGTTAGATTTCGGGATGCGACTTAGTTTACGTATGTTTTAATTGATCTGTGGGGATTACCTCCACCTGATCTGCCAAGACGCCTGCCAGATGGCACTGTTTAAGGCTATAAAGGCCTTTCTCTCATTTGCTGCGGATATTGTAGTAATAACATGACAATCTTCTTTTCTTCTCATTCGAAGTTTTATAATCGTAATCATTAGGCCATACGGAAAATTTAATAGGACTCGGCCGTAGACGGATTCATCGAGTCAATGCAAACGATCTTTTCCTTAGCTGTATATGATTCGCCAGGGTTACATACAATTTTAATTCAGAGTTTTCCTTTTGCTAGACTTGTTGCCACCCAAGATTATAGAATCAAGTCTGTCCTGCTATTTATCCATACCTGGGGGGGGGGGAGAAATGATGGATTCATAACTTTTCCAATGTTATCAACAGGTAATGACTTCGGCTGGAATTAGAACTCGACTCTCCAATCCATTACTCCACTGTGCCTCCTAGGTGGTGCTGGGTGAGGGCAGGGTAGAATAAAGAATAGCGCCTCGGATTGAGGAATCAGAGAGCTGAGTTCGACTTCAAGTCGAGTTCATTAGGTTCAATTACGTGCTGATATTGCTATAAACTGCAATAAAGAATTGGCTACATCAACAGTCACCTGAGTTTTATGAAGCTTGGATAATATTACCTCATTCGTAGGTGGAACACTACCATTTAAGGAGGTGGCACTATGTTGAAAAGTGGCGATATGGGCTTGTTATGTATAGCTAAAACTTGATGTACGATATGAATGTTTGCGTTCCTTATTTCTTATATAGTAAAATAAATTCCATAACTTTTTTTGTCTCTCTCTCGTAATATATTAAAAAATAATATACATTATTATATCATTCGTAGAGTTGTTGAAGTGATTATCAAATTATAAAATAATGGCGGGTAAGTACATATAATTTAATATCTTATTGATATATATAGATCTTTAATTTCTTTTAGTCACCAATATTTATATATGTGGAGATTGTAACGAAGTATTCTCGGTTTGGATTGGAACAGTACTTATTTTTTATGAACGTATTCGTATACAAATGATACTGTAATTTAAAAAAAAACGCTTAAATTACGTGAACAGTAAAATTTGTTTTTTACTATGTGATACCCCAAATAAAAGCGGCTTAATTCGTCAAATGGAATACTACTGATATTAATCAGATGCTTGCAATTTCTACACACCGGCTCTCAAACGAGCAAGAGTGGTAGGAAATGAAATTGTACAAATGGTGCTAGTAGTTATATTTCAACCATCCGAAACGTAGGTTTCCTTACGACCCGTCCAAGAAAAAAAAAAAGGCTGCCAGGTTTCTTTCTGGTGAAACGACAAACAGTAAAGAATCGGTCAGTTCCATTGGGATTCCAGTCTGGTCAATAAGGAAAACATGGATTTCAGTGCATACACAAATATATGTTTTCCTTATTTACCTGACAAATAAAACTACGCGAACCGATTGTACGATGTCATTTCTTAACACTTGTGTTGAACCAGGTTGTGATAGATAGATAGATAGATAGATAGATAGATAGATAGATAGATAGATAATGGACATAAATTATGTTAACATGAACAGACAGCGATATGAACTGAGATAGATAGATAGATAGATAGATAGATAGATAGATAGATAGATAGATAGAAGCAGGTTTCAGGTGGCTTATGATAACCCCATCACTTTCTATCCATAGACATCTCATGTAGAAACATGGGGATTTCTTACGTCTTTGTTTTTCCCGTATTTACTTCAACTTTTTTATTTTTTTTAAATGTAATTCATTATTACTCTTTACGCTTTGATGAAAATAATGGCCGCTTTATTTTCTACATCTTTTGTCCTCTTTAGGTGGCGATTTTATTTTAACTGTTCGTAAGATGATTAACATGTTTTAATTAAAACTATACTCTTTAGCTTTCCTCTTTTTACGAAATTGCATTGAACATCTATCTATCTATCTATCTATCTATCTATCTATCTATCTATCTATCTGTTTCAGTCTCTTCCATTCTTTTTAATTAATCTATCTATCTATCTATCTATCTATCTATCTATCTATCTCAGTTCATATCGCTGTCTGTTCATGTTAACATATTTTATGTCCATTATCTATCTATCTATCTATCTATCTATCTATCTATCTATCTATCTATCTATCTGTTTCAGTCTCTTCCATTCTTTTTAATCTATCTATCTATCTATCTATCTATCTATCTATCTATCTTACTTTGTTCATATATATCTATCTATTCAGTCTAATATCTAAGTTCATGGTTATCTATTTCGCTAGCTACTAACACAATCTACCCATACCTATCTCAGTTTGTTCATATCTATCTCGGTTCGTTCACATCTATCTATTGATATATTACACACTGTTTATCTATCTATCTATCTATCTATCTATCTATCTATCTATCTATCTATCCATCCAGTCATCTGTTCTTACCTATGTCAGTATATTCATCTATCTATCTATAATTATGTGTACCAAATTTTAGCACACGTGAATATGTCTGTATTCAAATATTACACTGCCCGACGATGACGTCAGGCACGGTGTAATGCAAAATTGATCTTCTCTGGGCTGAAAATATCAATTAGTTGTTAAAAACTTTCGAAATCCAAGAACCTTGACTAAGCAAGATCTTATTTAGCTTTTAGAGACTTGATTTTATCGATGACGTTTTCAAGAATTTGAAGCTGTTTACTTATTTATATATTTTTTTTTTATTAATGTTGTCATTATTTTGTTCCAATCCGGAATATCTTTTGCATTTCAAATTTTTTTCATGATCGTATACACATACACACGCACACATATATATACTTGGGTTTTAATAAAATGAATCAAAATTTATATCCGAATTCGTTTGATACACCTAGAAAAGAAAACAGTTTATTTTGTACGCAAAAATACACGTCTGTGCTTAATTTTCAAAGATCTTTGACTTGTTTCGTGGTTGAAGTAGTTGTAATTTGCATTAGTCGATAAAGAAAGTGAACATAGAATAGACTGCGTTAGAGATAGTTTCGGCCAATACCTCAAATTGCTACAAGACCAAAACATTAACTTGAAAACTTAAGCCATATTCTTAAATAGCTTCATCAGATTGAGACTTTCATATAGATCTCCTGCGTGACACCAAAACCATCCAGAAATATCTAAGCTGTCATCTGTATACAGCCGTATTCTAAGATCAATGGTTAAAAATGGATTTGGGCGAATGAAGTCTGTCTGTAATGATACAACACCCTCCACGGTCATCCAAGACTTCCAACACTGCGGCTGGTCACTGAAGTGACTGCTTCAATCCCCAGCTAACCTTGTCCCACGTTGTGATTTAAGTTTGATCATAAGGCAGCCAAGATCGAATCGTCGGAGGTCTCTTCGTGTTGGGCTGGTCCAAGCCGGGCGATGACGTACAGAAAAGAAAATAACACTCGAATAAATTGAACAAAAGTAAATACTGTTTTTTATATCAGTCCTCCGTACAATAATTGGTTTATATCAGAGTTCGCGTGTAATTAATTATCAGCCCAATCCGTGTCTAAATAGGAAATGATATTATTGTTGTCGACTCGTGGGCCTCTCTCCTGCCTCTGGTCTCGTCTCCGTCACTTCTTCCTCTCTTCTCTCTTCTACTTAATTCGCTTTGAAGTAAGAGAATTTGATAATTCTGGGGAATTCCAATTTTTCCACTCTCTCATATTATTACCTCTCACTAAACCTCCTCAGTGAGATTATCCACCGACTCCTTGTATTTCAACTCAACTTTTGACCAGGGTAATCAACTCCAAACTCGTTTTTTACGAAAAATGTAAATTTTCGCTTTACAGCTTACATTTGCAGCTGTGTGTCAATCACCATTACCCCGTAAGTCTGGGTCACTTTTCCATTGTTCAAACTGATCGACATAAAATTCAAGGCGTTTATGTGTCAATTAAATCCTCAATTCTTTCCACGGATTTTTGGTATTAACCCTTCTCGTTTCGATGTCTCTCAGCATATAACAATTTCTTATGTTTTAACAACACTTTCTTCCGTTTTACCGTGGCAATGTCAAATAATATCACATGTGGATCTTTGCGAAGATCATCCTTCATCGAACATTGTGGACTGGCGCTACAGAATCGCAAAGAACAGTAACAACAGATATAACCATATCATTCAGAAATTGCAACAGCTAAAATGGGTATCACATGTAGCTCGCAGCAAAGATAATAGCCTAATGAAGTTGATGATTCACTACACTTTCTCAAACAATTGCAAAAAAAACATCAATACTGGAAAGACCTACTGATAAAAAACTACTGGACTTGAGACATCTATTTTCCTGAAAAAATTGTTTTAGGTGAAACATTTTAACCAAAAGTAGCACTGTCTGCTCGGCCAAGGAATGCTGAATG